TAGATAATTCTGAGTGTGTAATATTTCCCAGAGCAATGCTCTTTTTGCACAGAATTCAGTGTATTTTTCACTCCATACAGGTGGCAATGAAACACATACATGGACAGACGTAATATATGAGGCTATACGTAACGTGCAATTAACTAATATCCATATCACACGCTTGAGATTTATCGCTATGGCTTGGATGTGGTGATTGCCAATTTTGCTTGTGAATACATTTATTACTGTTCTAGTAGTTTAGATATGGAAAATGCCAATTTTGCCTGTAAATATATAATCAATTTATTACGGCCAATAATCCCTTTTTGCCTTAGCTCTCTGTACAGTATCGGTCCAAAAGGATGTAACAGAATAAAAAAGGACATGAAAAATACTACACATTTTATTGAATCGTCATCAATGACAAACTTTTCTGAATTCTTTTATTACCCTGCAAGCCAGTAATGCGTATTGTCGTTTTAATGCAAACTATATGAACCGGATGCTATTGCGACTTTAATACAAGTAAAGCTGCATGATATTTTTTGATTAATACAATAGTAACAGATAATTAAACATTTTAAAGTTTATATCTGAGGGACCTATTTTCTTACGCAGTCAATGCCGAATAGAGATGAAAAAAAATAATGATCAAGCAAATAGGTTTAAATATGTTTTTATATTTTTGTCTTTTTTTTTAACTGGGAAATATTTGCATGCAACGTGAATGCTATCTATCTAAGCATCATTTAAGACTATATAATTGAACTTCATCCATTTTCAATGGCTGCTAAAGCATCTTTCTCGGATCAATCCTTCAGTTTATTAGTATGTGCATATCTATTACGCGTATTTATTGCGTGTATNGCTTAGAATACGGTGAGAAAGGAATCAATAAGGCGAGCTCCATGGACTGTTTATCTACACTAATTAATTACATTACAAAACAACACGTGTCCTCAAGATAAAGATATTCACACCGAAGGAGATAACATGTCTTCCTAAAATGATACACCAGACTGACTAATAAATAGATAATTCTGAGTGTGTAATATTTCCCAGAGCAATGCTCTTTTTGCACAGAATTCAGTGTATTTTTCACTCCATACAGGTGGCAATGAAACACATACATGGACAGACGTAATATATGAGGCTATATGTAACGTGCAATTAACTAATATCCATATCACACGCTTGAGATTTATCGCTATGGCTTGGATGTGGTGATTGCCAATTTTGCTTGTGAATACATTTATTACTGTTCTAGTAGTTTAGATATGGAAAATGCCAATTTTGCCTGTAAATATATAATCAATTTATTACGGCCAGTAATCCCTTTTTGCCTTAGCTCTCTGTACAGTATCGGTCCAAAAGGATGTAACAGAATAAAAAAGGACATGAAAAATACTACACATTTTATTGAATCGTCATCAATGACAAACTTTTCTGAATTCTTTTATTACCCTGCAAGCCAGTAATGCGTATTGTCGTTTTAATGCAAACTATATGAACCGGATGCTATTGCGACTTTAATACAAGTAAAGCTGCATGATATTTTTTGATTAATACAATAGTAACAGATAATTAAACATTTTAAAGTTTATATCTGAGGGACCTATTTTCTTACGCAGTCAATGCCGAATAGAGATGAAAAAAAAATAATGATCAAGCAAATAGGTTAAAATATGTTTTTATATTTTTGTCTTTTTTTTTAACTGGGAAATATTTGCATGCAACGTGAATGCTATCTATCTAAGCATCATTTAAGACTATATAATTGAACTTCATCCATTTTCAATGGCTGCTAAAGCATCTTTCTCGGATCAATCCTTCAGTTTATTAGTATGTGCATATTTATTACGCGTATTTATTGCGTGTATCGTTTAATATTGCTTTTAAGCACGCGGTAAATATGCGACGCTTCCTCGACTCTGGTTTAAGCACTGCTACTGGGGTTTTAGTTTTAGCGTACCCGTGGTCATGCTAATAACCTTGCGCTCGTTACACGTCACGGGTCTTGCGTAACTACCCACGTGCTACGATTTTCACTTGGGCGGGCGTCAAGCGGACATTTTGTACAGGAGCAATGCAAAGATGGGTGAAAACGACACGTTGTTTTTAACCGAAGATGATGTCCCCGGGGCGAAACTGCCTACACCAAAAGTAAAGGATCATACCAACGTTGTTTTGAAACGATGTAGTTAGTCGGTCAGGGGCGAGTTGGGGAGAAAAGAGGAGCACTGATAGCAAGGTACTGTGTACACGTGAACCGGCAAAGTCAATGATAATTTCATGTTGCAAAAGCATAATTAAATTAGTTATTTTTCAAACGATATTATTTGAATAGCAGATACATAGGTTAAACTAACAATAATATAAAATTTTGATGACACTGAAAATCAAAACCTGCCACAGCAAGTAATGCATGAAATTTTGTTACATAACACCATATGCTTGTGTCGTTGTTAACTCTCGGTATTATTGCTGCTTAAATTAATACCTGATATTATTTCTCAGGCTACCAAGTACATATCAACTTATTTTGTGGCAATTGACCTCCATGTTCCAACATGTGTGCAGGTTGATTATTATTATTATTATTATTTGTTCAAGCACATTTTGATGGCTACATGTGCTTTAACAAGAGAAAGTCAAAATTTATGCAGAAGTTTAAAAGATTAAATCATCACTAGTATGTACAATTAAAGCTATTTGATTATGCATATTACTCTTCGGGGAATCTCGCAAATGCGTATTGTGTGTAATCAGCACAATTGTCTGACGCGCCTACTCGGACGGCCAAGGGGTAATTAAGCCCTTCGCACGAAAACCAATTACCCATTAAACAACCAAGCAGATTACATTGATTGTACCTCTCTCAGATTTAAATATGTCCAGCTAATGCGGTATCTAAATCTGCAGGACCTTTCACCATAAAATATTCAGAGTGGACCTTTTCCCAGCAAAAAGGGTTGTTCTTTCGAACCCCCCCCCTCCCCCCGGGCCACGGGCCTGATCTGATCTGTTTATTTTAGATAACGCATAAAGCAGATTTGGGCTAAGTTCTCGGTGTCACCTGGCTGGCTTTTAAAACATTCGTAATGTCTTTTGCCGCAGGTCATTATTTTCATTTGTCTTATGTTTTTGTAATATTTACGCCATTTGTAGAATCTTCAATTCAGTGACATCCATGATTAGCTACACAATATGGTAACATGGCACAGTCAATTGTTTTAGACGAATCACGGTAAAACTCCATTCTCATAGAAAGTAATTTGCTAAACCTTCGTTACCAGGCATTGTGAAAAAATACACGTGAGGTTGAAGACAAAATGTGTCAGTAAAATAAATGTAAATCTCTCTCTATAATGCCCCCTTATTTATGTTAGTACTAATAAAGTGCGAATATTATCCAAAATGGTTGTTTTTTTAAATACCTTCTTTACTGAGTTCGAAAACTAGCAAGGCATGAATCAGAAATGTTTGCATTATTACACAAAAAGCTAGATTTCGCACTTTCTATCATAATTGGTTTAAGGAAATAGAAGTCGCGATATCCTCCTCCTTCCCACTACTAGACACACCAGGTATAATATATTTATATTATATAATACATATTATATGTTTATTATATATTACACGTATAATATATAATAATATAATGTATTTAATATTATTTTTTAATTCAACCTGTCTTTCAACATGGTGAAATTTAAATTTTATTATTATTATTTTATTTTATTTTGCGGTGGGGGGGGGGGGGGTAGAGTGGGCAAAAAAAAACGACCCCTCTCCAGGTAATCTTGATCATCCCATGCATTTTATGTATTTTTATTGATGATTGTTTGGTTGCAAAGTGAATGGTTTCTGAATCGTCATCGCTGAGCACTTAATAATTAACTTCATTCATTTTCAGAGGTTTGTCACACATTCTCTCTTCCTTTCCTTTCATTACAAACCAATTACTTACCTATATTTTCTAATATGGATATTCAATTGTTTTGGGCATCTTCTTTACTGAAATGTCGTTGATTATTACATCTTAGACTCAGTTGTTGAAGGGATACCAAACAAAGAGAGGAGTCGGTATTGTACTACTACTACTACTATTGCTACTACTACTACTACTACTACTACTACTACTAATAATAATAATAATAATAATAATAATAATGATAATAATAATATATTTAATATAATGAAATATTCCATTAAAATATTTAATCTACGAAATGTTCAGTAAACTCAACAACATAAAATATATAAAAAATGTATAAAATTACCTGCAGAAATAGTTATCAGAAGTTTTTAAAAATCAATGTTTCGCTTTGTTATGTTTTTTTGAAATATGATTTAAGTAATGAATAATAAATCTTTAAAACGTGAATTTTAAGTTCCTTAATTCTGATTAAAATATGAAACCTGTCTTTCTATTTCCCTTAGGTGAATGGGCAGCTTATACAATGTAGGCTACCACTCCACCGGTGCAGTTAAAGAAAATGCTATGTCACTATATGTTTTTAACCTGTAGTAGTTATGGAGGTTTCCAGTAAAAGCTTGTCACCAAACGATGGCGTTTAATCAGGTCATTTATATATGGAGCTACAGGTAGATCATACCAATACGTGTAGATGAGAACCAACAGAACCATGCATCCACAGAGATAAAAAATATTATCGCCGGTCTATGTCGAAATGAATATGTCCCAAACAGAGGGGAGCGACAGGAGGGAGATCCCCTAACTTCTTCACCATTACACCGTCTATGTAGTCTTTCTGGCGCACGTACAAATCAAGCTATACGACTCACAAGTTGACATTTAACAGTATAGGAAAGATTTTTAAATCACACAAAAAAGGGATATGAAGTTATTGTTGACCAGAAGCATATCCATAGTTCACCCCTCTTTTTATCACGAGTGCAAGCAAGCACTACATGTATAATCTGACACTAGTGTCACAGAATGTAATCGTAGCTTATATTGGGTCTGACTAATTTCCCATATAGAATAGTGAGGGAAGTTGCATGAACGCGCCGCCACACACGGAAGGTAAATTGTACTGTAGTACATTCAACAGATTATATAAGTAAATAGATTTTACCAGAAATGAACAGTCGTGTGTGTGTGTGTGTGTGCGTGCGTGCGTGCGTGCGTGTGTGTGTGTGTGTGAAAGAGAGAGAGAGAGAGAAAGAGGGAGCATGAGAGAGGAGAGAGAGAGAGAGAGAGTTTGAGTGTGTACATGTGTGTGTGTGTGTGAGAGAGAGAGAGAGAGAGAGAGAGTGTACATGTGTGTGTGTGTGTGATCCATTTAGCTATATTTAGGCTTATCCGTACATCATATAAAAATGTATTACCATAAGTGTTGGCTTATACTCCTGGTAAAAGTGGAGGGATAAATTATAAATAGGCTTCAGGTCAACAATACTTTCAAATGTGATTTTAGTCCCACCTTATGCATTTCAATAGCGTCCTGTGAGTAGGAATGTATAGCCTGAATTGCACCTGCACCTGAAAGAAAATGTAGACTGAGTAACTGCAAATAAGTCAATGCCCCCCTCCCCCTTGTTCCCCTCCGTCTTAGATGTTCTTATCGTGACCAATTCATTATTTTTGATATATGTGTGGCGGGTGAGAAATCTCCTCCATTATCACTATACTGTTAAATGTTTACATTATCCTGCGAATATATACTGTACTAAATGGAATGGGACAATTAAAACCCGTTTTGTTCAAGGTGTATTAAAGCATGCTTTGTTCGAGGTGTGTACGATCATGAATTTCAAGGAATGCACGGTAAATATACCCAGACGTCCCCATTAAAGCATTTCCAAGATCATACTATACCTCTGCATATTTTAAGTTATTTTATATAGAGATATTCGATCGACCCGCATCTGTACTGCAGCTATATAGGCAAAACAGGTGCAGTCGTTGAAAAATACCAGTATGTAACAATACAAGTATTTAGGTCAGACACTATATTGGCCTATGAACGGAAAACATGCCCCTTCGGTATTTATAACAAGGCGCGCACCTGTTATAATACTTTATTATTATTATTATTATTATTATTATTATTATTAATGTTTTTTTATTTTCCTTTATTTATTTATTTTTTAGAAATCACATGATAGCCTTGTCACGCTAGTAGCTTTTCATGTTCTTTCACTTTTTCCGCATCACAATCCCTCCCCTTGCAGCTGCAGACGGGGACTAGTACGTGAGCCATTAAAGGGTCTATTATTTGCTGATCGCTGTAGGTAATATATGAATATGTGAACTATACTACTGGTATATGCATCCTTGCATCCTTATAAACAAGCGCAGATATATCAGAATAAGCTAAGCGGCAATACGCACATATCCATGTTATGTGGAATAAATCTCTATCTCTCTCTCTCTCTCTCCATTGTGAGACTAATACGCCATATAAATAATTAAGTCTTAGAAATAAAACGAATAAAATATTTATGAGCTCACAGAACAGTACACTGCACACAGCCGACATATCGAACCTGTATTATGAGAAAAAAGAATACCAATCGTATATGTATTTATTCATGCATATACTCTATTAATTATTATAATTATCAATATTTTGCCATTTTAGGAGTAGATTAGTGAAAGACAATGCGACTGGTATATGGACTTATTAGTATATGGACATTATTAGTATGATATTGCAATTTTAGGATTATATGGATAATAATGGCTGTAACGTCCTCACCGACTTCGAACTCTAAGGAGGTCATTCGCCAACTACACGGCATTGAAAACACCCTCGCCGTTCTGCACGAAAATGGCACCTTCACGATCGTTTTCACGTCCTGGATTAAAACAAAATTGCTCTTAACCACTGACCAATGGGGACAATGCATGGAGCGACTGCTGGAAGACATCCCACATCTTCGAATGACCATAGCTTGGCAAGACGGCCAGAGACATTTCAAGTACGTGGACGACCCTCGAGCAGACTTCGAGGTTCTGGATGCAACATCTTGCGATGAGTGGAAAACAGTTCACGAGCACATGACGCTTGTGACTTTTTACGACGCTGATAAACCCTTGTGGAGAGTAAAGATTCTGCGCATGCCCAAAGGAAGCACGGGTGCGGAACAAGACGAGTGTACCCTCAGCGGGGACACATGGTTCACTAGCGTAGTCATTTTTGCGCTACATCACTCTATCATCGACGGTAAATCTGATTTTCTCCTATTAGGAAGATTACTTCGAATCCTTAATGCAGTGATCTCAGATGCCCCGGCCCGTGATGGTGGTGATGCCGTGATGCTCCTGCCTCCTTTAGAAAACCTCTTGCCGAAAAATAAAATGACATTCACTTGGTTCGACTATTTTCAAGTGGCAAAAATGAAATATAAAGGCTGGTTCCCAAACAAAAGTTTATTTACAAAACGGTTCCCAAAAATGTCTGCACCAGGTGAAAGCTGTACAAAAACAGTGGTGGTTGAATTTTCAATTCCTGAAACGGAGAGGATCATAGCACAATGCAAAGACCGCGGGGTAACTGTGCACGGTGTCCTCGTTGCCGCTGCCTCGGTAGCCATAGCCAAGCTCATAAATGAAGGGAGACCCCCCAAGGTAGTGAACATCGCCTCAGTCCACGCTGTCAATATGCGGCGATTTCTCTCTCCAGAACTGAGCACTGCTTTCGGGTCTTTGTCGCACAGCCTTTCTATCTCATTGAGGACCCCAACAGCTGTCAGCTTCGATGCGTTCTGGGACCTTGCCAAGGAATCGACCGGTCTCATCCACGCCCAGCTTGATAATGGTGATGTCGTACAATCTTTGAAAGTATGTAACTACGTGTATGGTATAGAAAAGAAAAAACGCCCGTTGTCACCTCCGGAGTGCACAGTTGAATTCTGCACTTCCAACATCGGCGACTGTGACAAGCTGTGCCCCCCTGGGAGGGAGGAGGCCAGAGCTCACGCGACGAGTGTCATCACATCTGATTCACTGCACAATTGCAATATTCCGTTCTGTCACTTCCTGCACAAATTCCGCGGTCGCTTCTGTTACAATCTTGACTACGCAACGAACAGGGCAACCGATCTACACGCCCAGAGATACGCTGAGTTGACCGTAGAACTGATGAAGATGGCTGCGGGAGAAGAGGAAACATCTAAAGATGAACTACGATAAACAGTGTATTGTGATTGCAGACTGTTGAAATAAAGGCCATTTGCATTGTAAACTATGATATTAAAAGTTAATAAATACAATAATACAAGGAATACTTTCAGCTGACTGTTTTATGCTAAAACCTGTATTGTTTAATCCGCGCGTGCATCGACGGAATGTAGAAGGCTTTCTCATCCAAGACTGGACCTACTGTTTCAAAATTACGTACATGTTTTGTGAGGTAATTAAGAGAACAACGGGACGGTTCATATTCGAACTTAGGAGGCAGGTATTGTTTTCAGCGCACCCTTGTGTTTGACAGACGTCTTTGCCACATTTTGACTCGTTGTTTTATCAAATGTGTTAGACAGTAGACAGTATATTATTATTAAAATGGAACAGTTATACATATGCTTCATGTATCACTTGCATTGATTTTAAAAACATTATATCAACACCCAAGTGCAATATAAGATAGGACCTAGAAAACCTCGTAACACCCTTCCCTCCTGATTGTTCACGTAACAAGCAGATATATTGAATGCATCATTATACGTGATAGAAAAAAGCTACCTTTTCACCAGCAGGCTGCTAAAAATTACAACATGATATTTAATCTTTTATAATACAATTTACAGAGGAAATACATGATGTANAGAGAGAGAGAGAGAGAGAGAGACAGAGAGAGAGAGAGTGTGTGTGTGTGTGTGTGTGTGTGTGTGAGAGAGAGAGAGAGAGAGAGAGAGAGAGAGAGCTTGAGTGTGTACATGTGTGTGTGTGTGATCCATTTAGCTATATTTAGACTTATCCGTACATCATATAAAAATGTATTACCATAAGTGTTGGCTTATACTCCTGGTAGAAGTGGAGGGATAAATTATAAATAGGCTTCAGGTCAACAATACTTTCGAATGTGATTTTAGTCCCACCTTATGCATTTCAATAGCGTCCTGTGAGTAGGAATATATAGCCTGAATTGCACCTGCACCTGAAAGAAAATGTAGACTGAGTAACTGCAAATAAATCAATGCCCCCCCCCCTCTTGTTCCCCTCCGTCTTAGATGTTCTTATCGTGACCAATTCATTATTTTTGATATATGTGTGGCGGGTGAGAAATCTCCTCTATTATCACTATACTGTTAAATGTTTACATTATCCTGCGAATATATACTGTACTAAATGGAATGGGACAATTAAAACCCGTTTTGTTCAAGGTGCATTAAAGCATGCTTTGTTCGAGGTGTATACAATCATGAATTTCAAGGAATGCACGGTAAATATACCCAGACGACCTCATTAAAGCATTTCCAAGATCAAAGTATTATACCTCTGCATATTTTAAGTTATTTTATATAGAGATATTCGATCGACCCGCATCTACTGCAGCTATATAGGCAAAACAGGTGCAGTCGTTGAAAAATACCAGTATGTAACAATACAAGTATTTAGGTCAGACTCTATATTGGCCTATGAACGGAAAACATGCCCCTTCGGTATTTATAACAAGGCGCGCACCTGTTATAATACTTTATTATTATTATTATTATTATTATTATTATTTTTATTAATGTTTTTTATTTTCTTTTTTTTAATTTATTTTTTAGAAATCACATGATAGCCTTGTCACGGTAGTAGCATGTTCTTTCACTTTTTCCGCATCACAATCCCTCCCCTTGCAGCTGCAGACGGGGACTAGTACGTGAGCCATTAAAGGGTCTATTATTTGCTGATCGCTGTAGGTAATATATGAATATGCGAACTATACTACTGGTATATGCATCCTTGCATCCTTATAAACAAGCGCAGATATATCAGAATAAGCTAAGCGGCAATACGCACATATCCATGTTATGTGGAATAAATCTCTCTCTCTCTCTCTCTCTCCATTGTGAGACTAATATGCCATATAAATAGTTAAGTCTTAGAAATAAAACGAATAAAATATTTATGAGCTCACAGAACAGTACACTGCACACAGCCGACATATCGAACCTGTATTATGAGAAAAAAGAATACCAATCGTATATGAATTTATTCATGCATATACTCTATTAATTATTATAATTATTATAATTATCAATATTTTGCCATTTTAGGAGTAGATTAGTGAAAGACAATGCGACTGGTGTATGGACTTATTAGTATATGGACATTATTAGTATGATATTGCAATTTTAGGATTATATGGATTATAATGGCTGTAACGTCCTCACCGACTTCAAACTCTAAGGAGGTCATTCGCCAACTTCACGGCATTGAAAACACCCTCGCCGTTCTGCACGAAAATGGCACCTTCACGATCGTTTTCACGTCCTGGATTAAAACAAAATTGCTCTTAACCACTGACCAATGGGGACAATGCATGGAGCGACTGCTGGAAGACATCCCACATCTTCGAATGACCATAGCTTGGCAAGACGGCCAGAGACATTTCAAGTACGTGGACGACCCTCGAGCAGACTTCGAGGTTCTGGATGCAACATCATGCGACGAGTGGAAAACAGTTCACGAGCACATGACGCTTGTTACTTTTTCCGACACTGATAAACCCTTGTGGAGAGTAAAGATTCTGCGCATGCCCAAAGGAAGCACGGGTGCGGAACAAGACGAGTGTACCCTCAGCGGGGACACATGGTTCACTAGCGTAGTCATTTTTGCGCTACATCACTCTATCATCGACGGTAAATCTGATTTTCTCCTATTAGGAAGATTACTTCAAATCCTTAATGCAGTGATCTCAGATGCCCCGGCCCGTGATGGTGGTGATGCCGTGATGCTCCTGCCTCCTTTAGAAAACCTCTTGCCGAAAAATAAAATGACATTCACTTGGTTCGACTATTTTCAAGTGGCAAAAATGAAATATAAAGGCTGGTTCCCAAACAAAAGTTTATTTACAAAACGGTTCCCAAAAACGTCTGCACCAGGTGAAAGCTGTACAAAAACAGTGGTGGTTGAATTTTCAATTCCTGAAACGGAGAGGATCATAGCACAATGCAAAGACCGCGGGGTAACTGTGCACGGTGTCCTCGTTGCCGCTGCCTCGGTAGCCATAGCCAAGCTCATAAATGAAGGGAGACCCCCCAAGGTGGTGAACATCGCCTCAGTCCACGCTGTCAATATGCGGCGATTTCTCTCTCCAGAACTGAGCACTGCTTTCGGGTCTTTGTCGCACAGCCTTTCTATCTCATTGAGGACCCCAACAGCTGTCAGCTTCGATGCGTTCTGGGACCTTGCCAAGGAATCGACCGGTCTCATCCACGCCCAGCTTGATAATGGTGATGTCGTACAATCTTTGAAAGTATGTAACTACGTGTATGGTATAGAAAAGAAAAAACGCCCGTTGTCACCTCCGGAGTGCACAGTTGAATTCTGCACTTCCAACATCGGCGACTGTGACAAGCTGTGTCCCCCTGGGAGGGAGGAGGCCAGAGCTCACGCGACGAGTGTCATCACATCTGATTCACTGCACAATTGCAATATTCCGTTCTTGCACTTCCTGCACAAATTCCGCGGTTGCTTCTGTTACAATCTTGACTACGCAACGAACAGGGCAACCGATCTACACGCCCAGAGATACGCTGAGTTGACCGTAGAACTGATGAAGATGGCTGCGGGAGAAGAGGAAACATCTAAAGATGAACTACGATAAACAGTGTATTGTGATTGCAGACTGCTGAAATAAAGGCCATTTGCATTGTAAACAATCATATTAAAAGTTAATAAAATACAATAATACAAGGAATACTTTCAGCTGACTGTTTTATGCTAAAACCTGTATGGTTTAAACCGCGCGTGCATCGACGGAATGTAGAAGGCTTTCTCATCCAAGTCTGGACCTACTGTTTCAAAATTACGTATATGTTTTTTGAGGTGAGAGAACAACGGACCCGTTCATATTCGAACTTACCTGTACGTGCCGGGTATTGTTGTCAGCGCACCCTTGTGTTTGACAGACGTCTTTGTCACATTTTGGCTAGTTGTTTTGTCGAATGTCTTAGACAGACGTTCCTCTATCTTATCATTTAAATGTAACAGATATGCATGTACATATGCTACACGTATCACGTGCAATGATTTTTTTTTCATTTATTTCAACACCCAAGTGCCATATAAGATATGACCCAGATAACCGCGTTAACACGTACCCTTCCCTCCAGATTATTTGTGTAAAACACAGATATATGGAATGCATCATTTTACATGGCAGAAAAAAGTTACTTTTTCACCAGCAGGCTGCTAAAAATTACAACATGACATTTAGTCTTTTATGATACAATTAACAGAGGAAATACATAATGTTAACAAAAGATATCTTGTTTAACAGTATATGTTCACACATAACGCAATACCAGTACCTACGTCATTATTGTCATTTTGCTTTACCAGACACATTAAAAATATAACGGAGACCGTTTTCTATAATTCCTCATTGAAAAGCTTTTAATTCACATTGTACAGCAACTCTAGAGCTCCTGACAGGTGGGTAATTGAAAGGTATATTAGGGATATGCATTTACCATATATGCAATCCGGATTTCGTAACTGTGCTATATGTGAGTTTGATATGCACACATTTATGACGTAGTTTTGATAACGAATATCCATATGTTCAATTGAATGCCGATTTTATCGTAAACGTCTTTAATAAGAGACTTAATAAAAACACTTGATTCCATGCTGAATAACAAGTGCCTCTCTCCTGTTGTGTGCACATTGCATATATTGTGATGGCCATAACACATTGCCGTTTTAATACTCCGAAGGTAGCAATGGCTGACAATTTTAAGGCAAACCCATCGTTGCGCACCACGGAGGTTCTTCGCCCACTAGGAGGCATTGAAAACGAATTTGCCGTTATGCATGACGCGGGTGTCAATATTACAGCATTTACAACGTGGGTTAAGTCAAAACAGTTCTTATCCTATGACATATGGGACGATAGTATCAAGCGTCTACAAGAAGCCATTCCGCAACTTCGCCTCACTATTGTTTGGCAAGACGGAAAGAGGTATTTCAAGTACATGGACGAACCTCGAACAGACTTCGAGGTTCTGGGCGTAGCATCATGCAACGACTGGAAGGGAGTCCACGAGCATATGATGTGCTTGATGTTTGACACAACCAATGGTCCACTCTGGAGAGTGAAGGTTCTGCGCATGCCTAGTGATAACACGCAAATCGACTCGGGGGAAGAGGGGTGTTCCCCGACAAAAGGAGACAACTTGTTTAACAGTGCAGTTGTATTTGGGGTACACCATTCTATATTGGATGGGATATCAGCTTTAATCATGTCAAAGAAACTGATCGGTATCCTAAACGCTTTTTTGGCAGGCAAGCCCCTCGAAGATGTCGATGCCATGAAG